GGGAATGAAATGTACGAGGCGCGCTGTAACAACATCTACTGGCTGGCAGCAGCTGAAGACCAATTCTTTTCTGTCAGAGATCGTGCTGATACAACAGTTTTAGTTGTTATGTGTTGGCACAATCAGCAAAAAAAAAAAAAAAAGAAGAAAAAAAAAAAATTCATTTGATGGAGAGCGTTTCTTAAACTACAAGCCTGAAAGGATTTTCAGAGAGGCTCTAAATAAAACAGATGTCTGCACCACTGACTGTAATCGCACTGTGAAGGAGACTAAATAGAATTAGGGAATTGCTTTGGCGAACGGGAAGGGGAATCCCCTCTGTGCGTGTGCAGTGGTCGATAGAACAAATCTGTAATTTAATTGATGTTGTTCTTGCCGTTGTTCAGCATTATTCGTGGGTGAAATGAATAAAAAGAGACCAAGGCTATAACAACATATGGTGCTTTGATAGGAAGATGGCTTCAGAGAGTCCTTCTGGATATAAGGAACGATGATTACAGAAATGAAAAATTATTAAAAAAAGAGAGAAACCACTCGAAAGTCCTTTATCCAGAGAAACTATGAAATATGAGTCTGTGGACAGTTCCATGTGACTGACCAAAACTAACCAGAAGAAAACTTAAACTGAAGACAGCTTGGGAACTTTTTATGGTTTTAAAACCACAGGTTTTCCAAATATTGGTATACTTTGCACTTATAAATACATTGGTTCAATATAGTGTGCAGCTTTTATAAGAAGGCTGACACGATTCCACATTTTTTGTTAAGGTGCCACATTATTAAAAACCTAAATATTTCATAGCATGAGCAGGGACTAGATGCTTTGATTTGTTAACAACAGAAACTCAAAGCACAGCACCAGTGACAGAGTTGAATAATAAATTTCTCTTTGGTTAAATATATTTTACTGCTGAAGCACAGCAAGAACTAAAAAGCACAGAAGAAATTAAATCTTTTCTCTAATAACGTAGCAGAGGTGAACTATTACAGAGTTTCTACAGATTTCCCCAACTGAAATTTAAGACCTTTTTAAGACCATTATGAATGAAATTTAAGGCCTGCACCGTGACAGAAATGTACAAAAAAAGAGCCAACCCACGATAAATTTGTACTTAACCCATGATAAACGGCAAAAAAAAGTTATCCAGATAGCTAGCAAAGGTATATTAGCAGCTAGCTACTGGTGGCCTCAACTGCCTGGAGTCGCAGAACGCAATGTTGTCATTTCCATACAACTCAAACTTTTGCCTGAGAGAGAAGAAAAAGAAAAAAAAATACAAAAAACCAAAATCATAGAATATCCAGGATTAAATACTCTTACTATGACAACATTTAAAACCTGAGATTAACGTATTTAAGGCCATCTTAAGACTTTTTAAGGATGTGCAGGCATCTTGTATTAGTGTTTGGTACCTGTTGTAAACAATTAAACTTTAAACAGGAAACGTTCAACCATCTCTTCCATAGGATAAAAGTTGTAGAAACGGTGCAATAACGTGTAATACACACAAATTATTATGCAAATATTTCTGCAAGTTCTCAGAAGGGACAAAAGTGTTTCACACACTTCAAATTATTTACCATATTTTTCTCATTTCCCGTACTGACTTTGCATCCTCTTCTTCACTATTGTGTTTTATGTAACATTGCTGCTTCATCCCCTCTGCCTGCCTGACTCTCTCCCACTGCGGAGCTCCAGTGAGCCGGCTCCCTGTCAGGCAGCGCGGCCCAAGGGGGAGTAACCAGCTGAATTATTGAGAGCATAAAAATGCTGCCGCTAATGGATCCTGAATAAACACACTGGCTTAGCTGCTGCTGTGGCATCCTCCGCTGCCACAGGGCATCAGGCTGAATATACTGAGGTTGAGGAAGCGGTGACTGGAAGCTACTTCTGCGGCTTTGTTCGTGGCTGAGCCACAGTTATGACACACACATGTGGTCTGATCCAGACGCTGTTGGGGCCCTGCAAGCAAATCTTTCAGCCTATTATTCTGATTATGGATGTAAATGCTGGGAGACAACAAGATCCTTTCCGCATGATGTTTTTAATAGCTTATCAGCACTTTAATGGAATATTCTGAGGACTGACAAGGAGGATGGAAGGTCATAATTTATTGAGGATTAAAAAACAGATGTACCAATCAGCCCAAGGTCAGAATTCAACACTGATTGGCTCTAAATAGTCATTTGTGAGCCAAGAGGTTTTTTTTCTTTTCTTTATTGAATAAATCAAAATTCAGAACTCTTTCTTCTTTAAACTCACCCTCCAGCTGCATGTACTTTAATGTACTTAAGTCAAAAGAAGGGAAAAAAATAATAGAGGCATATGATTTGATACACAAATGTAGATAAGTTTACAATTGCTTCATTTTCTTTAAAAGCTCCTACTTCTAAAAAAAAGAACCAGGAAAACACTTCTGTTGTATTACAGTCCTTAGGATATAGATTTGAATCAAAGTCGAAATCAGCATGAAGAAAACTGGAAATCAGGTCATGGTAAAGAAGATAAATGCTGATGAGAATAAAACTTTACAACTTCAACTGCAAAAAATAAGAGGATAGAATATTTCATATTTCAGGCGATCCTCTGATTTGATAAGAAAAACCGTGCCTCCTGAGTGCATCTCAGTGTTCAACATTACAGTATATTCTCCTTTTTGTCAGCAGAGTACATGAAAAAGCCTGCAGCAGAACCAGCTGCAGCACCAGACAGAAAAGAAATACATAAACCGGGAAGCATCATTAAGTTTTAGAAGAGACGGAGATTAGGAACAAAATCATAGATTTTACCAATGAACTAAGACTAATGTCTAAAGATCGTGTCTGCTTAACGATTCTCAATCTCATTTAACCATTTCTGGATCAAATTCAAAAGAAAAATAAATAAATAAAAAACATTGCAGGGGGTCTTCATCTCATTCTGCTAGAAAACATACTAAAGGAAAGGGAATGAAAGGAGAGAGGAGAAGGGAAGGGATGGAAAAGCCGTCCCTGCAGAACAGTGGCATTTCTAAGATTATGACTCAACTGAAAATCTGTGTCGCTCTGTGTTTTCATCTGTTCGGGCACTGTCAGGTTTTCATGATGCATCATACGCTCAGTGGGGGGGGGGGGGAGCGGCCAGAAAAGGTGCCTGTCACTCCAAAGAGTGCTCTGACTTATTTGAACGGACTGCAATATAGCACCCCTGTCTGGCAAAGCAGAGCAACTAAAGCCTCTGCAGGCGCATCTCAATAAATCAACAGGTCAGCAGAAAGGTGGTTAAATTTAGTAATTCAGTTTAAAAAGTTACATTCATCTATTATTTATGTGGAGTAATACATCTTAAGTTTTATTTTTGTTCATTTCAACGCTTAGCGATTGGAGCTAGTAGTACAGAAATGTTATGCGCTGGTCAACACAATTATGTTGCACACAGTAGAAAGAGAGAAAGCCACAAAGTCTAAGAGTGATGTACCTAGGCATATCAACAAAGGTTTAGTGGAAGAAAAAAGTGTGCATACACTTAATTTGTGGTTCAGCATTCTCAGATTTTTCAAAATGTAGGTGTTCATAGCTTGAAAGTTGCAAAAGGTTACAAGGTTTAAGTAGATACATTAAATAACATAAGGTCTTATTTCAATTTTGTTTTTGATGGTCTAGTGTTTAAACTTGACAACCTTATTTTTCTAGTACGAGGGGAAAAGAGGGAAGGTTTTTTGCAGAGTTGTACATATTTCTATGCATTTACACTGTATACCGTTATTTGTATGTTTCCAATCTCAGCACAGAAGCTCCAGATATAGACACGGCCCCCGGCATGAGCCGTTACTACCGCCTCCTGCACTTTCTGCCACGCAGCGCTTCGCTAACAGCACTATCAGATGTCAGAAAGCCGCCAGCAGGCATCAACTGAGCGCGTGCCTGCCTCGTGTTTCTGGAGGCCCACTGGGAAGTTCTTGTGTGACCAGCATACCACCAAATTTCATAATGTTGCGTAACATTCCCAAAGAGATAATAAATCATTGCAGACAGGGAGGAGAAAAAAATATAAGCCAGTAGGAGCAAAACACATTTGGTATTAATTGTGTGGAAGAAGAATCGGAGAAAGGCTGATGAGTTTACCTTCTTCTTGTCTCTCATGGAGCTCTTTCCTCGCACCATGATTTTGCATCCCGTCTCTGCTTCCAGCTGTTTGGCAGTGAGTCCCCGGGGACCGAGGATTCTTCCCACAAAGTTATACTGCGAATACAGACAAGAAGAGAAAACCGGTGAATCTCCTGGAAACACACATGGTGTGAAAGAAAAGGCCTGATCTGTGAGGAAATATGACGGACAGCAGCTTCTTACCTAAAGTACTGCTAAAGATCATAAAATGGCTCACATGAAAAACTTTTTCTTTTCTTTTTTTTATTTGGGTTAAAATTTGTTTAAACAGCAAAACAATGTTAAAGAAACAGCAAGTCTTGCACCACCTTCTAAAGAAAAACTGTTGGTCAAGTTTGGTCAAATATTCTGAACTTTTTGTTTCCAGAAGTTTATATAGCTGTTAATTTCAAATTATGCAAGAGGAGCAAATACTACTTTTGTTTTCAAACAGTCGAACCCAGGCACTCATAATGGATTTATGGTGCTTGTATTCAAATGCATTATTAAAAACACCAAACTTTAGCAGAGAATCAGATTCAGAATGAAATCTTAGAATCTGTGGCAGTGGAGAAGCCGTTTACAAAGCCATTTTTTATTTTTTTTAAAATAAGTAATCTTAAATTGCATCAATCTCAAATATTAAAACTCTGCAAATATTACAAACTTTCTGTGTTAGAAGTGACTTGAATTCAAACTCAGAGCATAAAAGCTTTGAAATGATGAGTCATGTCTTTAAAAGAACAGGCTGTGATTCCAACTCCTGCTTTAGATTATGTTCTTAATACCGTTTTAAAAAACATACATCTCTGAATACAAAAGAAATGCAAGAGTGGAAGTGTGAATCTGTGAAATTTGGTTCATTTGACTCAGTTACCCCTTTCCAAAAAGATTTGCGTTAGGATACATAAGCCATAAAATATAACCACTAAAAATCACAGCTCTGGGAACAAGAAATACTCCCAGCGACTAAATCAGACCCTCACAAGCTGAGAAAGATGTCTGTCTATTCTCCGGCATTAGGAGGCATGACCCTTTTTAGCTTTGGCATATATAATTTAAACACACTGCTTATTTTTAGATCCCACAGTGGAAACAGACAAGAAACCACCTGGGCAAATTGGAAGATTCTGAGATATTAAGGAAAATTGTCACAATGTGTCTTTAATACCATCAGAGAAATTACACTTGGTTACAGAAGAATTTGAGATTTTATAGCTTTCCAACACAGTTTGAACAAAAGCAAGTGAGGAGAATCTAAAACTCCAGGCTGTTGTTTTTGTCCTTGTCGGACGGACTTGCCTGCATCCCTGGCCAGTGTCCACCAGGAAGGACACACCCCGTGGCCAAAAAGACGCCAGCACCCTACGGATAATTAGAGCATGTGGCCACACATGCTTTAAGCCCGTTTCTTTGTCACAAGGCAACTGTCTGTTTGATTAACTCTAATCAGAGAACTAGTGCAGAGGGTACGTTCTGCGGTGCGTGCTGGCGGAGGGATGTGAGGACACACGTCCTCGGCGGTCAGCGCGTGGCTCTGCTTCTGGCTTGTAGGTGAATAAAAGCCCAGAACACAGCTGTCTGTCTGCATCACACAACCAGAGCAAACGAGGTTGAGCCCCTCGCTCTGAGCTTTACAGTGGGACTTCAACACCACACACAGCCTCTAACCTGGAAGCTGCAGTGACAGAAACGTGGGTGTTAAACTCCTTCACTACTGGCAGGGTTTCTTGTTTGCTTGTTGTAGTTACGATTTAAAAAAATAATTACAGTTTAGTTTTTTTGGGGGGCGGGGGTTGAGAAACTGACATTTCACAGTATTCTAATGGCTGCAAAAATCTTCCATCATTTTAAATCCCACAAGATTTACAACCATGAATACATTAAACACATACAGTGAATTACAAATTAAGCTCCGCACATCAAACAGACTGAAAAAGAAGCAGCAAATAATGTCTGAGGTTTAGTCTGGCTGTAAAATCCTGAAAGTACTGCAGAGCACATCCAATGTCCTGCTCTTTGCACAGCTCAGAGTCACTAATATCTCTGTACAACTGATGGCAGAAAGTGTTCACAGGGACATAAATGTTGATGAGAATCGCCTCTGACAGAGAGCAGCGGCCTGATGGAGGGAAGAAGAGCGACATGGAGAGAGGCCAGGCCGGGTGAACTGACCCTCTTCTGCCGAGGACGGCAGCTAAATATTTGAGGACCAACACTGCCGGCACGTTCCCAGTCTACAGAGTCTTCAGTTCCATCTGTGTGGATCACACTGACGGTGTGTGTGGAGTGCAGTGAGCAGGTGTTGTGTCTGGCAAAGCTATCAATTAGCAACATAAGATTTAAACGGGCATATTTTAGGACAATGTATTCCAAAACAATATGGAGATGTAGTCAGTAGCACCGGCGCAAACGTCCCCCAATCAGGATTAAAATAATGGCCACCGATGGGTGAAATAAATAACATTGATTATATTCTTCATAGGACTCGATGCAGGGTGAGATAGATTTTGTCCTTGACTTTGATGATGAAGAGATTTAAGAAAATCCAACAATGGGAAAATTGCATAATGTGTAATGGCTACACAACTGAACGGAACATCTCTGAAACCTGTAGTTCCTGTAGGAGGTTCTGTTTAAAAAGGTCCAAGTAAAGCAGAGAGGTGAACCGGCAACAGGGTTGTTGATGGACAAGTTTCAGATCCAAGAAACTGAATATTCACACCAGCTCAGTTTAGTCTGCTTTAGTTTCGTCTAGAAAGTCTGATTCGTTTGGGTGTGAATGTGCAATCAAACATAGATGTGGACCAAAAAAGCAACCTCTGGTCCTCTAGGTCTCAGTTGGTTTGAAGTGAACTTGGAAGTGGTTCAGATGGATATGTAACCAGAGACCGCTTCAAGCGCACAGCATTCTGGGTAAACACAACAATAACAAAGAGTCTCGCGCTACCAAGAGATATGGCTCATGGTCTTTAACCAAAGACAAAAGAGAAATTATACAACTTCCAAACTCTGACACCACTCCATTTGTGTTTACATTTTGTGAAGAAGGAAGTTGTGCTCATGTCCTCTTCAGAGGTTTTTGTGTCATTTCCTTCAGTAGTTCTTTGCGCAGCGTCACCACAGGTGAGGTGGTGACGGGTGGGGGGCAAAAAGGTTGTTCAAAGAGTTTGGATCATTTGACACCATGCATTGTGAAATCCAACCGCATCAGCTGGAAATGCAACAACTGTTGCAACCGAGTCTACTGGACTGTCAGGTGTGAAAACACCCTGTCTAGTGCTTTGGTCATAAGGTGGAAAACAAAGTTCTTTTTCAGAAATGTCAACGTCCCTTGTAAGAAAATGTATCCATTCTCTTTTTGAAAAAGTTTAACGTTTTTATTTTTAAAACCTAAAAATAGAAATAAAATGGTGGTTCTTTAAAAATGAATGCAGTAGATATTGTGGATCTATGGATGATAGACTATACTCCTATCTAAATCGACTAAATCTGAGTCTACATTCCTTTTCCAAGTGTCATGTTATCTATAACAGCCTGCCATACTAAGGGTAAAATATACATTTACTCTAAAAGCTTTGGAAAGTGGAAATAATTATTTTATTAAAAAACTCAAATCTTGCACTTTCACACAGCTGTGTACATACAAAGCCCCCTTCAAGACAAAGGCTCAGTCTGACATTAAAGGGCCTTTGTTTGGCCATAGTTATCACTGCTCCACAGGCAGGTTATGTTGTGAGCATCTCCACCGTGTGTGTGTGAAACACAAAGTACAGAGTGAACTCTTGCAGACGTCCTCAACACCCACAGCTGATGGCCGTAGAAGTTTCTGTGCACAGATTTCTACTTTTGGCATTTTTCTTCCACGGATGCGGGCGAACAACAGAGACGACAGCAGCTCCATGAACAATGGTCACTGGAGCACAACAATTGTGTCTTGACTGCGTTTGTTTGTGGTGGTGGGGAGACAGGAAATGAGATCATGCTGAGGGCTCTGGCTGTGTACGCGGAAGGCTTATCGAAGAGCGGGGCGAGGCCGGCACCAGAATACCAATCGTGTATTAGCCAGTCGAGCTTATGGAAATAGGACGGAGTTCATTCAGTGCATCGCATCAAAGCAAGGTGGAACGGCGATGCACCAGGTTCCATCATCCTGCTCAATCTCTCAGTTTCTCTACATCTTCTCACTTACCTTGAACTTATCATGTCAATCATTTTAACACTGCACCGCTCTCCAGTTCCTCAGACTTCTGTTGAGTCTTGTTTCAAGTAAGTTTTTTGGAGTTTACAGTGGAATAACTTGCATAACACCCTCCAACAGCTTCCTTTCTACATCCATTCATAGCTCCTGGTGACAACACAAGCTTCCCTTTCCTCTGTCGCTTACAGAACAGGATCTTGCCTTTCCTGATGTGCTTATCTCTCATCCTCCTGTGTTTAATGCTCTCTAAATGCACAAATCAATGTCTCTCTTTTTTTTTTTTTTTTTTTAAACCACGCACCACCCCTCTGGCCACCAGCTGGCTTCATCCCTTTAAATCACTCGTTCATCTTTAGGCTGAAATATTTACTTTCAGTTTGTTGACAACTTCCTACAACCACAATCCTATTTACCAGAAATGTAGAGAGGTCAGCTGGAGACTGAGTTTGGTTGATTTTCACCTTGATTGATGCAGATCGTTGATCAGCTGGATGAAAACCACAAATGCATGCGCCATGCCTAAGAGCTAACAACTTTTGATAACACTGCTGTGAAAAAAGATGCTAACCGCTGGGAAAAACACTCAAAGTTTGTAATTTTCAGCAGCAGTGAGGTGTTAAAAAATGAAGTCACAGGAAGCACAAAGAATGAAAATAGCCATTCAGAAGGAAACAGAATTGTTAGTTGTTCAGAGAGTGAAGAGTTCAGCAGACAACAGGAAGCATAAGGGCATTCAAGGTAACTGTTCACCAGCTCAAAGGGAGATCAGGGGTGTTGCAGATCTAGCTGATTATGCAAAATACTAATAAGATGTTAAAGACAGCTGAAAGTGTTGCCTTTATAATCTTGCTGACTTGGTTTTGAAATGCTAGTGAAACCCTGAAGAACTGCAGAA